GCGGAATCTCCCGGGCGGTTCTCTGGGGGCTTCCTGTGTTTTCTACGAGTCGTCCCTAGCACTCGTTCAGGGCCGATCACAGGCGAGCAATATTTATCTAAAGATACGAGATCTTTTCTTGAGCAGGGCCCTGAGCCTTCGGACGGGCCAGGGCTTTCTTAGGTTGACCTGGGCTCCTTTCCCGGGGGGGCTTTTTTAGGCTGGGCTACCTCCGAAATCACTTCTCTTGGACCTGGTCCCGGGAGACCGAGGCCCCTAAAAATTTTGGGGTCAATAGTTGCTTCAGAGCCCATAAAGCCCCTCTGTTGAATCAGCCATCGGTTGGAGACAAGAAGCATTACACGGCAAACGAAGTGAGTGTGTTGATTTCGATCCCTGGGACACACTCATATTTGGTCGGAGGAATGAACATGAACCCAATGCGAAGAAGGAAATAGGACACGAAAAACACTCATCCGTCCTGATACCCCAACTCGCTTTTTCTAATTGATGAAAAATCTCTTTCTATCACAGTTCGTCACCGATCCCTCCTGCTCTATAGATACCGATTTACGAAAGATGACCAATAATGGGTTAATTTAGTGATTCGACCTCTGGTGCCGCAAGCGCAAGTATCCTCTCCAACCGTGTTTTTTTTTTCATCTAAGTTATATGGTATACCTTAGACGGTGATCTGGATGGTGGGACTAGATAACAGCTTTGCGCTTTAAAAATAGAAAGTATTGTAGGAACAGCTCTTGGTTGAGGGAATGGCTTGATGTACTGTACTGTACAGCACTTCCTAGGTCCGAGGTTGCCCATATAAGGAGAAATACATGAATGCCGAGACTTGCCAATGGAGCACCCGAGGCCCTATGGCTTCCAATCCCAATGGCCCCAAGTGCGGCCACCGGTACCAACAGCTAACAAGTACAATGTATGCTCTAGATTTCAATATTGAGTGTTTAATCTTGCCTCTTCAGCTGTTCATCTTTGCTTCCCCATGGTGGAGATGAGCTGGTTGTTGGATCTGCCGGGGTAGACCTCCGGTAAGCTTGGATCGGCCTGGGTCCACTGGTTTTGGAACCGGGTAAGCCTACCGGAAGGCTTGCAGTGGGCAACTGTAACAAATGCGGGGTTGGGAGGTGTTTTTGCTACGTATTGCGGGAATCCGGATGGGCTATGTTATCGTGGGAGCGCCCTACATGGACGCGGAGTTTACCGGTTTGCGAATAAAGGCTGGGCAGTCCTTGCCCATTCTCCCGCCTAACTCTTTGGAACTTCGGGCACTTTCTAGGAGATACATCGCCCTAGAACCGAGAATAGCTGAGAAGGATCTCCCATGTTGGAAGTTCCTATCTTTACAAATCTATTGCCCCGCTATTGATATATACAGGATTTGGGAGTTTTGGAGGAAGCGAGTGTGGGGGTAGGGTAATATCTTTTAAATTTGTTATAAGTTGTAGGATGTAAGAAAGCCTATGATACACTAGAGCTACTATTAAACGACTCTTTGGGTATTTCTTCTCACGATATTTCCTTCTTTACCCTCCCCCCTACCCCTGCTGCGAGAACAGCTACCCTAAGTCTGCCTCAGAAAGCCTTCCGGCACCCTAGCACAAAATATATAGATATGGGCGGGTTCGAGTGTCGTCACGCCTTGCCTATCGGTATTCCGAGCGACGGGGAATTAAAGAATCGATCTGGTAGAGCGAGTGAAAAGTGATAGCAGGTTAGGTTCCGGTGTGGAAGGAGTTCGGGGGCCAGGGGGCCACGGGATTCGCTTGGGACAGTAAAGTATTTGGTCGTGTGAAGGCCCAGAGCATTAGGGGGTGGGGGGTGACGACGCCGAGGGCCAGACGCCCGGTGGACCGGGAAACGGGGGGGGGGGTTGTCGTGATTCTTGCCCGGAAGTGTTGCCCAGCTTGTCATTTCGGACAACCACTGGTATAATTAGAGGCCCAAAGAAAGAGGTGCGGGGGTAGTGGACTATGACTGATAAACAATCTCTAAGACGGGAATCTCTAGGGTGCCTGAAAGAGGGAAAACACGAAATAGGATGAGTATAGTATGAGCTATAAAAGACAACACTGGGGAACAATGGTCAGCTCTACAGCAGTTGCTGAATCCTACCACTTTGTAGACAAGTAGATCTCCGCCATCTGGTCCTGGGCCGGGTGCATTTTCGTTCGGCGGCAGAGCCTGCAATGGAGGGGGAATTTGGCTATTAACCAATATCTCCATACTGCGAGCTTTTTGTGAAGGGTAGAAGGCCGGGGATGAATACCAAGTGGCGGGGGGTCAGGACCGAATGTGAGTGATCGAAAGCAAGGCGCGGTGGGGGGGACCAGAGGCTAGGTACTTGTATAAGGAATAGGTGGAGGTTAGGTACGATATTGGGGGTCGAAAGCTGTAGGCGAGGTCTGTGTTAGTCTCTCCGGCACGTTTGACTGTATCGAATGAGCGTGAAGCTGGGGGCAACGTTCAATCTTTTTTGGCAAGTGGGAATCTAGGAGAATGTGTGTAGAAATAAAACGTAGACTGGGGTATCATAGGCATAGCCCCATAGTCGTCCCTTTCGCAGAGGTCGTCGGTGCTTGAGCCTTTCAAAAGATTTTTTTCGCTAAGAACCTTCCACAGTTTCCTCGGAGGAATGAGGGGGATCGAATAAGCAGAAGGATTGACGAACTGACAACCCCCGAGAAAACAGTCCCTCATAGTCACTCCCAGTATGTCATTCGTCACCCGAAAAATCTGGTACGGTACTTGATGTTTTCGTGATTCCGCTCGGGGCGGAAGGAAAATTCTCCGGGGGCGGAGATCGAGTGGGAATGGAAGCCGCACCAATACTGGTGGCTCAAACTCCCGAGAGTGAGGGGCTCTGGAGCCACACAAGATTCGCTTGTCGCTGAAGTTAATAGTGGTAGAGATACTGGTACAAGCAGTGTTGGCAGCGACGGGGGTGGTCACCCCTAAAAGCGGACTTGACTGGTCACCGTCCCGGAAGATATGGCGGGAGTCGCGATTGGTCATGGTGTTGAGAGGGTTAGGGTTACAGCAGGGGTTAGGGTTAAAATTTTGGTTGGTAACGATCACTGTTCAGCATAGTACTGTAGTCTTCAGCATTTTTAATCCCGCATTTAACGCCAAGCCCTTTTGGCGGCCCGTCATCCACTCGCCCTGACCACCAATCACTGAGTATTATTACTGCTATACCGGTATGTCATTAGGCTTATGGAGCCAAAGGCTATGAAGCTGTAGGCACTGAGCATGGTCAGGTTCATGACTTGGCACTTGCTACAAGGACAACACTAGTACCGTACTGGCACAGGTACTCAAGTACCGGCAGAGGCATCCAGCAGCCTGGGTCCCAAGGCCACTGCCAGTGTTTGGTCTTCTGCCACCCTGATTTTGGGGTTAGCGAGATACATCTCCTCTACTAGGACAAGCTTCCCACCTACAATGCCGGCCGTTCTGGCCTCTACTGCCTCGGCCTCAGCCTCCCCTCTGGGGTCCGAGTCGTCCCCAAACACCCGTATTTCTTGTGTTATTACTTGTTGAAATTCCTTGCTTTCTGGTGCCCGTGGCGGTGGTTGTAGGTAGTGGCGGTACTGGTTTGCTTTACATTTGTTCCCCATTTCGTAAGTCAGCTGGTTAGCCTGCCAGTAGGGGTTTTTCTTTACTTGTTTTGTTAGCCATTGTAGTCAATGCAAGGGGCTACTTTGGCTCTACTTTGGAGGAATTGTTGCGTTGTTTGAGTATTTGTTGATTTCCTTTGTCATGCATTGGAATTAAGGATTTTTCTATTGCCATACTGCAAGGTGCAAGTAGTTTTTGGGCCGTAATCAATAAACATATGAATTGAAAAAAAAAAAAAAAAAAACGAAGGCGTCTAGCCCCACAGTTGACTGGGGAGTATGCAAATTTTCCAGGTCAAAGCCTGACGGATCGAGTAGAAACTTGGCATTCTAAAAGCACATTTTCAACACTTTGGCTGATTAAGCTTTCTCATGTCCCATATGTTAGAAGCACTTGAGTACTCGTCGGTGAACCAAATGTACCGGTATTCGGAAGCGAGTGGGCATCCTATTGGCGGTGGCGACAGAATGTGGCATGTAGCCGAGTCTTCTCTGCAATGCCCTGTCCAGTTCTGTGCGGCACGGTGCAAGTACCGGACAAGCACGGTACCGGTAATACTTGAGCAGACTTGAGTAGCCTGCAGCCTGTCGTACCCGGGTACGGCAGTTCCTACACGGTTACCGGTATTGATTCCGATACAATTTGACTTCGTCAAAACATGGAGGGGTTGTGGCTTGGCATTGGGGAAAAATGACGCTTTTTAGCACAGAACTGAATCCCTCTGAATTATCCTCCCAAGAAACGCGACTGGGGCTCTTCGATGGTGGAAGCTAATTGGTTCGTAGAGGCTTCTCTACTCGAGTAGAGAGAGGGGGATCTCCCAAGCCGGATCTAGGGATAGCTCTTCCCGAGAAGGCTTGTGGCGACAAGCCAACTCGCGGTGATACTCCGGTGTGTCTGTAGAAGTCGCCGTTCATAAGTTAGTCGTGGTCTTGGAGGGATTTTTATAGCTTGGAGGGGTTACTTCCAGATTTTTACTAACATTGGCTGGTAAAAACCCCTTGGCTTGCTGCGAAGTGGGTTAGAGTTGAATCCGACGACCTGCCGCTCTGGGGAATTCATTCTCTCCAGCTGGTACTGTACATGCACCATACTACCGGTGTTGGCTCAACCAGCAACATTTTGAGCCCACAGAATGCTACGGTACCGTATCTTCTCTTTTGGGCGTGACGTGAGCGGTGGCCTGCGACTCGTTCCGTTGCTGAGCGGGAACTACTCGGGTCGCCAGATTGAAGCCGCTCCTGTTTTGTCGGTGACCTACAAAAAAAAAACGCGGCTTCAATCGGGCGACATGGGTACGGTACAGGAAGGAAGAGAAAGAAGCTTGATCACCAAAAATCTGAGTAGGGAGGCTACCGGTAGTACCCGTGCATCCGAGGAATTGTTGGCTTACGGTTGGGCAGGTCACAACTGCGCCTGCAGCTGTTGTGTGTAACCACTGGCAGTAAGGAGCCCCCTCTCCCTGAGAGCTGAAAGAAACGTTGACCAGAATACCATACCGGTAGTCACCTTCTAGTTACGGTATTCCACCACATTTTTGAATCCGGAGTCAAAAAGCGTACCGGTAACTTGAAAGCGCACGAACCTTTGGCCACCGCTCACCTCAAAATCGAACGCCGGGTCACATTTACCCCTCACTACTGAAACATAGCGAGCTACCACAGCTATTTTTAACTTTCCCTCTTAGGTTCACGATATCCGTGGGGAGGGGAAATGGCAGAGCCTTTCTCCTTGGCTGCCAGTGGTGTGGCACTCATTCACCTCGGGGTAAAGGTTTGCAAGCTTTGCGATGACTACTGTCACGTGGTCAAGGAGAGCCAACAAGATTTCAAGAGACTGGGAGACGAGATCAGGGGTATTGACCGACAGCTGAAGGAAATGCGGAGCCTTGCTACACAAGGCGATGAGAACAACCCGCAATACCCTGGCCTACTTGAATGGACGAAAAACGAAAGTTTGGAAGACTATAAGGCAGTTTTGGAGGAGCTGGAGGGAAAGTTAGATGTCCCAGGATGGAGAAAATCCTCGAGAAAGTTGCTTTGGCCCTTGCGTAAACCGAAAATGGAGCATTACCTGAGGTTGGTTGAAGAACAGAGATCAAAACTTCAACTATTGTTGACTACGGCCACAACGTAGGTTATCCAGCTGTACCCTAAAGATCCGACTCCTCCACCTCCTTTTTTTGTTTTCGTGGAGGCACTAACTAGTTATAGAAAGACAGTAACTAAGGTGTTGCGAAAACTGGATGGTACTTGGCCACCTTATCCCTAACCCTCCAGTTATTTTCTTTACTGATATCGGACATTCCTGGAACACCAGAGAAAGAATTCCGGGAAGTACTGAAATGGCTTAACGTCGTTGATCCAGGAGCCAATTTTTCATCCGCACTTGCTCTTCGTGAACCTGGTACGGGGGATTGGCTGCTCAACCGACATGAGTACATCGATTGGAAGGAAGGCAGAGGGGGGTTCTCTGGCTTTATGGAATACGTAGGTGCACAGAGAAGCGAAATCTGATTTATGAAGAGTGTTACTAACAATTGCATCTTGTAGCGGGGTGTGGCAAGAGTGTCCTAAGGTACGAACTTAACTTAACTAGATATCCGGAGGTGCAAGGTGATTTCCTGATTGCTAACTCACTTTTTAGTGCTACTGCTATTGAAGATGTCAAACATCCGTGCAGCATGAGCAACGGTCACACATTAGCTTATTTCTACTTTAGTTTCAGCGACTCGGAGAAGTAGAATTTGCTCAATATGCTTCTGTCTATTGTTGACCAATTACTGGAAGGGTTTTTGGCTCGGGGTTTCCCGGATGAAGTTATAAACCTGTATCACAATTTTAAGGCGATTGGAAAGTCGACAGATATCAAAGCTCTGAAATCAGCATTTTCACAGATGATAAGGCTTTCCAAGAGAACATTTATCATTCTCGATGCTTTGGACGAGTTCCCTAAGGACACACGCGAGAGTCTCCTATCTTGGATCGGGGAGCTTACGGTTGATCATGATGCGGGATCGCTTTCCATTCTCGTCACTAGCCGTCCCGAGGCCGATATAGCGAGATCTCTAGAACCACTTGCCACTTCTGCAATATCGCTGCAATCCAAAACTGTTGATCCGGATATCCGGACGTATATACAGAACTCTCTAGATGGCAAGAACGGTTTCAGGAGATTTACCAAAGAAATTAAGAGCGAGATAGAGGACACACTCATTTCTCGCTCAGAGGGAATGTACGTTATAGCTAACTTTTGAGTTTTTAACCTACGCTGATCCAAGGTTGCATATGTTAAGGTTCCGATGGATGGTTTGTCTTCTACGGATTATAGAGGACTGCATGACGCCACAAGACGTGAGGGAATCATTAAAGGAACTCCCGGAAGATTTGGACTCTGTCTACTTGAGAATCCTCGGCACCATCCCTAAGAAGCAGAAGGAATATATTCGGCGAGCGATGCGTTGGCTCACGTTTTCGGCAGTCCCATTGACATTGGGCCAACTTGCGGAGGCTATTGTGATTGAATACGATGTCAACAAATATGGCCAGGAACCGGGAACGCTTTTCGATGTGAATTTTCTCATTGGCATTTGCCCAAGCCTTATTTCCTTCGAAGACGCCAGGGATGATGAATCCTCCAGCCAGGAAAGCCGCCGTTTACGACTAGCACATTTCTCGGTAAAGGAATACTTGATCTCCGACCGGGCAGCTCAGGGCCCCAGTGCCTTCTATTATGTTTCGGAAGGTAGAGCAAATTTACTGATGGGGCATGCTTGTCTCAGTCGAATACTGCGACATAGTACACAAGGCATTGTTTGTGGAAGTAAAGTCGAAACAATTTCGTTTCTCTACCACAGTGCTCGCTATTGGTTCGTGTATATTCGATCCATTGAGGTCATGGCACCGACTCCACTCTCCAGTGCTGTGTTGAAGGTCCACGAGCTTGGCCAGGGCTGGATAGATATTTATGACCCCGATAGTCCCTACCGGCTTGGGCCGGATTCTAGGGCTTACCCACCAGCAATCCACTATTCCTCGTTGTTAAATCTGGTGATGGCCTGTAAACTCCTAGCTAATAGAAAAGAGGATGCAGTAAACGTGAATGCTCAAGGTGGCGAGTATGGCAATGCACTACAAGCGGCCGCGACACAGGGGAACGAATCGGTTATGCGGTTTCTCCTCGGGTGCGGGGCGGAGGTGAATGCTCAGGGTGGCCGTTATGGCAGTGCACTACAGGCCGCTGCATTTCAGGGGAACGAACCAGTTGTAAAGCTTCTCCTCGAGTGTGGGGCAGATGTGAATGCTCAGGGTGGAAGTTATGACAATGCACTACAAGCAGCTGCATCGCAAGGGAACGAATCGGTTGTGCGGCTTCTCCTCGAGCGGGGGGCAGATGTGAATGCTCAGGGTGGCGAGTTTGGAAATGCACTACAAGCCGCGGAAGCACTCCGTCATGGATCGATTGTGCAGCTTCTCATCACACACGGGGCTGTTCCTTATGCTGGGATTTTGGCTGATACGTGTAGTATGACCAACTAGGAGACTTTAAATTGTTAAACTACTCGAATATCCCATTTCTCGAGTGGCAGCTAGTTCTTGAAGTTGTGCCCTTCTTATCACACATTTGCTCACTATTTTCCTTACTAGCATTTCACATGACTACCCCAGGAAAGCCCAACTCCCGCCCACACATGCCGCATTCCCCGCAGACTACCAGCCCACGAGTGTGCTCTATTACTCATGCGAGGAAACAACTACTTAGGTCCTGAATCCCATCTACCCTTCTACCGCCAACTACCCTTCAAGACTTCCCCCACTTCCTCCGAAATTTCAAATTACCTCCCGTGAGATTCACTCGGATATACAAACCCGGGTCTGTAGCCCTCACTGCGCGTCCGGCCTCCCCAAACCTGCTATCGCTCAATCTCATTTATCCTGCACCCAGTCCAATACCTCAAATACAGCCAAATACAGTCAGTGTTCCCAACCGTCCAGTCCGTCCGTCTTTGGGGTAGGATGGGACGGATTATAGCCGGTGGTCCGTACCCCCAGGAACGCTAGGACGGACTACGCCCGGGACTGGTAGGACTGGACCGACTACCGAGGACTACCGTCCTACTACCTAAAATCCTATGAACAAAGTGACCTTGTCAGCCACAATGTTTCAACAATTCCTGAGGTTCTTTGTAGTATAATATGTTGTTTCCCGGCGGTCTCCGCAGTCGCCCGCAGTCACCGACAGTCCCCGGCAGTCCCTCGTCGTCCCCATTACCCACACTGTTTCACCCCGTAGGGCCCGCCGTCCTACCTAAAGACGGCCGTCCTCCACTTTCACCGCCCGGGACAGACTGCACATGGCCGCCCCGCTCCGTCCAGGGCTCTTGGCAGTGCCCTCAGACGGTTGGGAACACTGAATACAGCCCCTCACTCCACCTTACCGAAGCCGCCGGTGATAACTAAATGTCCTAATTTAACACCCTGCACTAATTGCCTCCTGCTTAACCCAATATCTTTATTATTGTTGCCCTCTTTTTGGAGTGAAAATTAGATACGCTCGGATTGTATACTGTGGGGTTTGGGGATACATCCATACTTACTGTAAATGTATGAATCTGTCAAGTGACTCTGATAGAAGGTGCAGCTTGATGAGAATTGCCCGGAGGAGGCCGGAAGAGATGTCAGGAGTTCGGGGAAGGAGGAAGTGTCACGCTGACTTACCAATTCATTTGTCAGCTAGCTGGGCCTTTTCTCAGGCTTTGGAGCTCCCTTACCTTTTTCCTATTTTTCTTTACCCATATTTTTCTTCCTTCTTCCTAGCACAATAAGGCCGAAGTTGCAGGTTCGCGGGGGGTGTTGTTGAGGCAAAGGTCTCTTCTTTGCCCTTCGGTGCTGGATCGTTTCTGGTCATGTTTTCCCTGTTCTTCATTTTCATTTTTATTTCACTCTATCGACACCAGGTAAATGTATTAGTCATTGGGGCTACCCCAAGGCTATGAGAGCACATAGAATTTTCTATCGCGTTACTGTGTCAAGCTCCCTCTGCGCCAAATTTGACTCCTGGTGTGAATTGATCCTGAGAATGCCCTGCAGTCAGTTAACCGGGGCTGAAAACGATGAGAGCCCTCAACCAGGCCCCAGGCGGACCAAAGCTTACCCCGGCGAGATTCGACCCGACAGGCCACGGTCCACGCTAACCCAGGGGACGCTTTAGGTATCATATGCATGTGAAGCCAACAAAGGGAGATACGGGGGTCTAAAGCAAGTTGGAGGGGTTATACCCAGTTATTTCATCCCCTAGATAATATGAGAACAAGGAGGGTTAACACTCGGTTGGTAACCCAGGAATGAGTGGAGCAAGTTTGATATCGTTTTCATCCTGTATATATTCTATCTGCAGCACACCCCCCGCCACACCCTTCTTTAACTACTGGTATTAATTCAATGAACTTCCGACTTAAGTATGGGGTCTACTTTATGCGTCCCGGTTCCGGCTATCGCACTTCTGTAATAGAATAAATCCTTGATGGGCAAGCTCCCTGGCTTCTGATGTGGCAGAGTTTAGCATCTTATATGATCCCAGTTCCTATCAAGGATAAGCTTAAATATTTAGTGATTAGAGGTTATTGTTTCGTTGATTGGAGGCTTACGGGACATCAACTATAGCATTCCATCATGAGGCCTCGCTTGTCCCATATCTGTGAGGGTGTGAGCGGATTTTTTTCACTCCTGGTAACACGGGTCCGGAGGACCCCCAACGCCGGATTCGTGAAGCTGAAAATTCAGAAGAGAGATTTAGGTTGGTAGGATGGACGGTGGACTCGGGGGTGCCCTATAGGCCTTACTAGAGGAAAAGCTAATAGAAGTTTCTGATTGTTTGGGTTGCTCAGGGGCTGGTTGCGGGTCATCCATTTATCCTCGTGTCACTCGCCATAGACGGAACCAGCGGTAGTTTAGTAGTGAAGGAAAGCACGAGTGCTAGAGCATCGGGTGGAGGTTTGTTTCAGGCCCATTATCGGATATTGATCTTGGGAAAGATTGGGAGTAAACGATAGGAGTAATAGGTAGTATATATAATAGGTACCGATAATCTTGTGAACAATTAAGAAACGACTCCTCGTGACGAGTTGTGCTGATCTACTCTTTCAATGTTTCTGTCTAACAGGCGGTTTCCAAGGTAAAATAGCATGGAAGGACTGGCTTCGAGTGAATTGTACCAGTGAATAGATCTTTGACAAACTAACCGATATCAGCCCAATCGTCAAGCCGGAGGAGACCAGTTTTGAATTGTGGTGGCTAGGTCTCCCAAGGGATCAGAGCATCTTTTCCCTAACCCATACCCTTCCTTGGTTAGTGTGGAAGATAATAGTTGCTTGGATTGAACCGCCTCTGGGCCTAACAGGCCCGATAGGCTCTCTAAACCCGGCGGAATGTTTCGGCTGGGCAATCGCTCTCGCAATGAGAACGCTTACCCGTGCCAGGAACTGGAATATATATTCTCAGGTTGATACAATCTTAGGGAAATAGTGTAAAGCCAGAAGGCTCCTCAGTGGTGCTGTATAAGCTTCTATGCCAAAGCAGTCTTGGAATATCACTTATCATTTTTCAAATGTTCATTATATGAATCCAAAGTAACCCCCCAAGTCCACGTAGTCAAGGGTTTTTCATTTGGTTCATCCTGGTGTCATTCCTTATCGAACCATCTATTTTAACTGCGGATATGAATTCCTCCTCAGATACTTAGGGTCTTCGCTCTAGTCCTTTATCTATCTCGGGAATAGTGTGCACCATTCCTAATTTCGAGGTTTGTGAGTCTAACGGACATAGGTTCAATAGACTCCATCCATCTCCAGAGTACCAATCCCGCATACATCATAGGTAGCTAAATCTCCCTAGTACAGGTGCCTCAAATGAAAACAAGAACCCTGGCCGGGCGGGGTATGACAATGTAAATCCGGAATGCCATGAACCTATTGGATCGTTGAAAAGCGGAAGTTTTAGGGGTTACGCCACAGCGCTGCAGGTTTTCAGGGACAACCTAGATGTATCTGGATGGGGCAGGAGGTCAAGATCACTGCTTTTGCCCTTTCGTAGGCCCAAAATGTTGGGTTACCTGAACTCGGTTGGGGGTGCGATCAAACTTTACTTGTTAAAAACTGCTACCATGCGGGTTCTCACATGCTTGGAACCCTGGGAACCCAAGATTTCCCCTTCTTTTTAGGGCTATGGTAGCCATATTAGCCAGGTTGGTTTTCTATGGGGTGATGTTAATAGGATATGCAATAGCATGGCATTCGGCCAAGGGGTGCCATTAGGCTCATGGTGGTGGATTGTGGCTTTCACATCCTATGCCTATTTTGTTCTGTTAAAACCTGTTACTATTAAACATCAGGTATTGCATATTTGGTTTGGTTCATCGCTTGCATTCTATGCCGGTCTGCGTAGGGCACAGGGTATGGGTTCTGTGGATCATGATGATTCCGGATGGTTTAGGATTACTGAGGATCATGATATTCCTGAATGGTAACTTGCATTAGAGTTTTTTTGTAATCCATTTGTTTTCTGGGGTCGCTAGCTATAAGTAAATATACCTCCAAGTCTGTCCATAGCTAGCATCTCCATCGAGTCCGGCTCACCATTCTTCCATGTTTAGTTGGAACTGGCCCACCATGATTGTACTCTCACTACTTCATCTTTTAAGGCCTTCTCTGAGAGCCTCTATCAAACTAATAGTTTAGAAAGACTAGATGTTACTCACTCACTTCATCCCTAACCCTATGAGTTCCCTTTTCACCTTACCAATATTAGGTATTCCAAAAAGAGGAGGGGGTACAGGAGGTATTAAAATGACTTGATGTTGTAGGTCTTAGAGCTAGTTGTTCATTTTCATTCGCTCCACATGTACCTGGGAGCATACCGCAGTTAGGCTACCGGGAGGAGCTAAGTGCACAGATTGGGTGGAAGATGACGGGTGGTTCTCTCACCCTATATACTCTTTTGAATATGTACATGTGATTACATATCAGAGCTATAAACTTCTGTAGGTAGACATGATTACGTGCTCAGGCTGTTTAGCGTTGATGGTTTCTTCTTTAAATTTTGTCTTTTCGCTTCATTTTTTTCCTTTCTTTCCATATATAAGAATACACATAATCAATCAAACACAAACCACATCGATCTAATCACTGATCTGCTCGCTTGACTCCCTACTTGTTGTATGCCTTGATTCTACATATCTATCATTGACCTTCCGGTCATTTCTTCGAGATTTTCAACATAATAAGCAAGCCTCCAAATGGGTAATCCGGGGGCCACGGGGAGAAGTATATCTCTGGCTGTGTATCACTAGTGTTTACTTATCCATTACGACCACACCATAGGTAGTTATTTCTGTATTTCTTTCGTTTGACAGGTGAAGGGTGCTAGGACCGCCTGCTTCTGGACGTAGTAGCTCAACATCTTGTTGAAGGCATGTGGAGGAGAGGAGGTGAGCGGTGGCGAGAAGTAGGGGTATTGGGAAGGCATGGGGAGTAGCGAGAAAATTGAAGAGAGAAGAGGAGAGAGTCAAGGAGAAGA